CGATGCGATTGAAGTAATTTAAGATGTTACTGCCCAGAGGTGGATGTTCTTACCTTATTCCCTCTGTAAACTGAGAGGCAGGAACTAAGCCTGAGTCTTGTTTTCATGGAAAGTAGACTTGCTTGTTTGAATTGGCAGTTGAAGAGCTGTAAGTGCTGTCCATTTCATTTCCATTGCAGAATTAAGGACGTTTGTATCTGATTGCTTTTTTTTTTTTGTTAGATTTTTTAATCAGTTTTCTTTTTATTTATTTATTTTTAATAAGTTTTCTCTGAAGCAATAAAAAGTAGTTTGAAGAGCTCGTGTAGGCTGAAAGAATCTCTGAGTTTGCTTTCTGAGAAATTGTTGGAAAGGATTATATTTGTTCCATGCTAATACTTAAACTGCCTTTTAGGAGACTTGTTGGAAAAAGAGGAAGAAAAAAAAAAAAGAGAAAAACTTGAGCAATGGGTTTTGTTTTTCTGACATAGTTTGAGCAGTATTTTATCAGCATGAATTTCACATGAAGCTGTGTAACGTACAGATGTTATTAGATATGTAAACTGCTCCTTTTTAAAAAAATTAAGGTAGTTGTAAATAAGATGAGAAATCTTCAAAATTCAATTGTTACCTGTAACCATTTGAGAGATGTTTTACTGAGAGTTTTTTTGTTTGAGTCTTGTTTTTGCTAGCGAGACAAGCAGATAGTGTTTCATGCCAGCTTTTGAAAGTGTAGAAAACCTCTTTTGTCTGGGTGACTTTTTGATAACCTTTGTAAGAAATTCCATGGGAAAATTAGAGAGCTGCTAATTGAACTTTAAGTATTAAATGCTTGTATTGTTAGGTATCTAAACTTAAGTAGATTGGACAACCTTGCATACATAGTAAGCATAGATGAGTTTAAAACAAAGAAATTTTGTTTAGTATCTGATTTTGAGTTTATGGAGCTTTAATTTTGGAGAAAAAAAGGAAAAAGAATAAAAAGATCCGCAAACAGTGGAAGGGAAGAATGTGAAAATATTATCAGCCAGCACTGTTTTGATTTGAATTCTGCAGTGACATTGGTTTAGTCTTCTCATGTTCCCATACAAAATTATGTTGACATTTAGTTAGTTCTGCAGAAGTTCAAGGAGCTCCTTTCTGTGTGCTTTTGATTGAAGGACTGGGATTGTAAATTAGCATGATGTCATGATGAAATGGTATTACATAGGATAATATAGTTCAAGACGATTCAGGCTTAAACTCTGATGTGAGCTTTTAAAGGTTAGTTGTTTTTTTTAATTTGTCCTTGATTATAGTGGTAATCAAGCTTTTGTGTAATTGACAGTTTTGTCCATTCAGTTTCACTAATTCACGTGTTTTGATTCTTCAACAGAGGCTTACTGCTAATACAGGAGGCAAGCAACGTAGCAGACTGTCCATCATGTCTCAGCATCTCTGCACTGTTGAGAACTGTTTTGTAATACCAGGCCAAGCCTTTGTTCCAAAGCCAGATGTAAGTTTTGTTATGTTCTTCTGATTTTATTGTTAACTTTTCAGTTAGGCACTCCATTTGATTTTCAGGCAGGAAAGTAGTTGGGTCCTCAATTCAGCATCTCCACACTACTAAGTAGACTGTTTGTGGTATGCGTGAAAGTGACACATCCATGGCTCAAGAGCATTCTTTTCTTTTTGGTTACTGAGAACTTGTGCTTTGATGTTCAAGTCTATTTGCATGATCACTGTAATTCTTTGGGTGTTTGTGGAATTTTAAATTTCGTGGCAGGATAGTTTGCTAGAATTGCAGCATCTTTGAAAAGCTAATTATTTTACAATTGCAGTTATAGACAGTTTAAAACTACCTGGAAAATTTGTTGAGTCTTCTGAAACAGGCTTATTAATAAAAGCTTTTCAAATGCCACTGATAACTATTTTTACCATGTCTGTGGTCTGTGTATTTCACCTTACTCATCTTCAGCATTTTGAACTCCTTCATGTTTGCTATACTACTTAGTCACCTACATCCCACTCCCTGTTTAAAAAAGTAACCATGTTTTCTCTATTTTGTCTGTTCTTTAGAGGAGAAAAGTGTCTTTACTATCCTCTTATTTCCTGCTACTATTTTTTGTTGTTTTAATAAATCCATTAGGATAACAGGAATCAAGAATGCAAAAATTAAACTGCATTTTGATCACAGATCTACCTTTTTTTCTTCTTTTTCTTTTTGTAAAAATGTGTGCATGACAATAAGTAGGATCTGTTTGCCATGAGTGCACATGGACATTTACTTGCTCCTTCTGAGTTTCTCTTAAAATGGTTGGTTTGGCTCTTAAGTAAATCATCCTTTCCCTTTCTCACAGTCTCCCTGTGGGTCGTTTTATTCTTCAGTCATATCTCTCGAGAACCTATAGAAGGTTATTCTCTTTCTCTTATATTGAATTTTACAGCCTATATCTGTGCATATTCAGATGACGTAGAATTCCTTTACTGTTTTTTTTAAACAAGTAACTGTCCAGACATGTTGCACTATTATTTGTGACAACAAATCTTCACTATTGTGAAGAAAAACGGCCATTCATGTGACTTTTTTTTTGCTTTACATTTTTGTTTGAATTTGTTCGTATTTGTTTTGTGATTTTCTTGCCCTCCTTTGTGTTTTTTTTCCAATAATATTATCATATTATTAATCTGAATGTTAAATATGTGAAGTATTGTACAATAAGACTAAAATTTGGATTTTGTGGATGTAGTATGAGAACATATTAGAGCTGCAGTGAAAAATATTGTGCCATCTGTGTCTCAGCACTGGGTAGCTGTAACTGAAATTCCCATTTTCCTGTAATGAATAGGCTTCAATTGACTGAGTGGGAAAGATAACTCCATGAAGGTGTGACAGCTGTCTGAGTGTAAGCAAATCCTAGAATCAGTTGTTGCTTAGTTGAATAAGGACCTCACAAAAAGGCAGTACTGCTAAACACAAACATGTAATTATTTAATATATTTATTTGATTTACAGCAAATACAAATTACATTGCAAGAGCAGATAATGCAAGCTTTTCAGGAAGACCTGACACCCGTTGCACTGTACTTTGTTTCCTTCTAACTCCTGTTGTAGCTTCGTCTCCTGTTTTGTTTGTTTATTTTGGATTGAAGTGGTTTGAGGTGTCGCTGTTGCTGAGAACCTTTGCCTTCAAAGAAAGCTCTTGCAGATGTTGTGAATAATGCAGCTGTGTACCTGCCTTTTGTTTCACAGGTGTCCAAAGAAGTTCAGGTACTTCTGTGTAAAGTTTTAGAAAGAAAAATGTGTTGCTTATGTAATTGAAAAATACTTCATTTTGCTTGGAGTATGGAATTGTTACATTTTTCGTATGTATAAACATCTTTGGTTTCTGTTTTATGAATGTCAGTTTTCATTCACGTACGTTACCAGTGATCACAGCATAGTGTTGTGTCAGGCCCCAAATGAAAGGTGGAGAAGAATGGTTTCTGGGAATGAGTTGTCTACCTCATTTGCTCAGTGAATGAATAATATTTTAACAATATCTATGAATATTGAGTCATAATGGGCTTCTGTTTTATGAACAAGATGATGCTGCAAAGCATTCTGTCTTAATGATGAGCAAAAAGCCAAATTTTCTTTGCTTATGTCTCTGCAGTATTAAGTAACTGCTGATAAAAGTAGTAGGCATAGTGCAAAAGAAGCTCCCTGATGAATAGATAAGAAACTTCAAATGGCTACGTAACAGTAGTAATAAGAGCAAGATGAAGTTTGAAATTTCTTTCAGAGAATGCAGACAGTAGAACAAAGACTTTACATTATTAGATACAAAGCATTTGACTTTCTAAAACGCTGTAACAGAAGATTTTACTTTTTCCAACAAACATTAGATAGATAGATAACATTATGGGCTCTTTATACTGTTCTTGGAAATTTGGGATAATAAAACAAGAACTGAAAGTTGCATATAAATATACCAAATAAATAGCAGTTGGTTTTGTTTGAAGACTTGTCCAAAGTTGTAACGTTCCTGAATTTAAGGGTCTGCATCATATCCTCTTACCTGTGCTAACAAATGGGCATCAATTTGATTCCTGTTCAGTAAAATGTTTAAACAGGACATCTGCCAATGAACACTGACAAACAAAATTGGTTTGTTGAAAGAAAAGGTTAAAGGATCTAAGATGAGCAATCAAATTAAAAGAGTTAACATATACATTTAAGTGTAATAGCATTCTCTTATCATTATTGTATATTACATTTTACACTAATAAGATATCTGGGACTGGGCCTGAAACATACCTTAGTGGAATAATTGAAAGCACCTATAAAGTTCTTTTAGAAGGCCAAAAGCATTCAAGGCAATAAATGGTAGCTGAAGGCAAAATGCTTCTGGATTTTTCATGTAAATAGGTAAACAGTTTGTATCCCACATTACAGTTTTCATAGTCACAGTTACATTTCAGTTGTACTGCTCCTCAAATCTAACACTTGTGATAGATTAGCAGCAATTGAAGAGTGCCCAATTGGCATTGCTTTAACAGTAATAAATGAAACCCACAGCAGGTGGTAGTTTAGGGGGTGAGAGATGATTTTGGCAGCATCTGAATGATGCCACTGATTTTCCTTCCTAATGTGTAAATGCTGTGCAGCTAAGGTTGGGAGTACGAGTTTGTGTTGTTAGTTTGGTGGTTTTCTTTTTTGTATTGGGCAATTTATTTCTTTTTTGCTTTTTATTGTTGTTGTTTAGGAAATCTAAACGTTACTATGACAATTTAGAACAAAAAATGAAAGGCAGATATGTCCCTTACATAGAAATTGTTGAATTGAGCTTCTTGGACAGGGAATAGTTGCTTTTTTTCCTTGCATCATAATTAAAGGGAAAAAGGTAAAATACCATATAGAGCATTCTGTTACCAGTGGCCTGATTTCACTGAATTGAAGTGTCTTTGCTGTAACAAGCGATCAGTACATTAAATGTACTGTTGCTTATGCTGAAATAATTTATTTTTCTTCGGTAAATCTTACTTGGAAAGTCAAAGAAAATGGTTTGAGATGTCAGTTAAAAAAAGTACTCTTGCAGCAGACTCAGGGACTGCTTCGTAACTTGTTCTTTTTGCTGATATTGCTAAGAGGAAAATATCTTATGTAAATATAATTGCAGCCCAGATGTAAGAAAATTTAGGTGTTACACATTCTTTACAATAATCAGAGTACACTTAGCATTAAAAAAAAAAAAAAAAAAAGCCTTAATGGATAAAAACAATGGTATTTACACGTAGTCCTTCAGGTTGTAACCTGTATTGTTCTCCTGCAATGTGGGTGGGAGATGCTGCTGCTTTGGAGGATAAATCCATGCTCCTTGCTGCTTTTTAAAGCAGGAAGTACAGAAAATTGCACCTGCGACAAGCAGAAACCCTGCTGAAATGAATCCTATATAAACTGCTCCTCCTGGTTCGTGTTTACTGCTCTCTGGAATGGTCTGGTCCAGAAAATTGGAAATGATTTCTCTCGTGTACCAAGATGTTGGTACTAATCCAAAAATTCCTGCGAGAATGAAGCAGACTCCTCCAGCAAAACAAGTGTGACTTTTGCTGTCGGTGTCCCCTCCCAGCTTTGTGCATTTCATTCCAACTGTAGTGATGCAGATCCCAAAGGTTGATAGGATGCAAGACAGTACCATGGTGGTTCGTGCAGTCTGGATGTAGATGGGGAGAGACAGAACGGAGTATTTCAGGGTGCAGCTGAACATCCCGGTGCTGTACCACGTGCAGTCCATCCACAGTCCTTGCATCTGCGTTATAGCCGTTATGATGTTGGAACCAACATCTGCATTTACCTTCCAGTTCGGTAGCAAGGTGGCTGCGATGTCTCCAAAAAGGCCAAACAAAGCCAGCATAAAAGCAAAGAACTGCAGACCAGCTGATGCCATGCTTATCTGCTGTCCCCTTTTGTCTGCCCGCTTCTCTCTTGTAAATGCGTGTAACTGGTTGGTAGCTTCGTAGCCAAGGCTGTAGCTGGCTGTGGAATACAGAGGAGGGGGAGGAGAAGTACAGAGAGAAAGAAAAAGAAATCAACAAACAAAAAAAGCTTGCATTTAAAATCAGAGCTATGTGAATGAGTAACTGAACGTGACCCTGCAAGCAGATGAGAGCAGCTGAGCCACTGTATGCAAGGCACTTGGTCCTCAGTGATAACAAATGGACAGTGTTTTAGCATTGCCTGTAAGGGGGAGCTACTCTGCCATACGTGATTGCAAGCTACCAAACAAAACATGGTTTACCAGAGTGGTGTTCAGTGGTAGTATCAGATTACAGGCTTACTGGACAACTACACATTGTAAGTGGGACATTAGAAACTTGCAGATTATCAGCCATTGTGGAAAAATATTGTGGTGGAAAAATATTGTGGTGAAAGATATGTTGTACGCTCAGCATTTCTTCTGTAAGCACGTTGATGACTGTAGCTGTCGCTCCTGTTGACAGTTTTTTTAGCGAAGAGCACTGATGATCATATCTGTCACTTAAAGTTCCAAGCAACCCTTTATTTCAGTTCTTTAAATACTTGTGTTCTTTTCTTTGCTTTATTAACTTTAATAATTTTTTTTTAATAATTTTTTTTTTTTTAAAGGAAAGTGAAATGGTGCTTAGTTTTGCTGTATTTTCGCAATTAAGTCATATCAGAACATATCAGAATAACTTACTCATTTTCACTTAAGTGATTCTCAGTCCTCAACATAGACAAGCAGTCTTAGCAAATCTGTCTTAGGAGTGAATATGATGTGCTTTTGTCTATAAGTGAAATACTATTTTTAATACTCATATGACACTACTTAGTTGTGTAAGAGCATTTTTTTAAATCAGAAACCTGTCTGAAATAATCTGCAAATTTGCCTCACGGTGGCACTTCATAAAATTTGTTAAAAAGCAGAAATGCTGTTCTTGTTTTAAAGGCTGAATTTCACATAGTAGATTAGAACATGTAGTTGTTAGGAAGCACCTGTGAAGATAGAATTGTTGCTGTTACAGCAATGGGACAATTGAGATAGCAGAGACAGAAGAACAGTTTGAAACTTATGATGAGGATTAGAAAAGATGTCCTGCATTTAGATTGGGGCTGGATAGTAGGCAGTTCTTGTTTTCTACCACTATGGTAAAGAAAGGGCAGTCCTTGCATTTCCTCAGACATTCTGTCTGAATATGAACAGTAATATTGGAATTGGTCTTTAGCAATGAACATTTTTGAAAAGTTGTAATAATAGTGGATACAGTTGAAATGAGTGGTGCACAAAATAACTGCAGCATTGTAAACTTATTTTGTATTTTTATGCGTAAGACAGCAAGCTTTTGATCAGTATGTCATTAGTGGCATTACATATCAAGTAATTCTCTAATTCTGTAGTATAGGATTACTCATAAGCTAGAATTTATATATTGAACTTAATTCGGGTAATTTTTCAAGTATGTGCTCTGTCCAGCATAAATGTATGTATATATCAAATGATTACATTTCAGGTGAATATGATAACAAAAACCTTATTTCCAAGTCTTGCCTATTTTGAAATTCTGTCATTTTGTTCAGACTGTGAAGAGCTCCTTTGGCAAATACGTATCTTTCTTTTTGTATCGGGCCCACGGGAAAGATGGCTTATCTTCCTTTTGCAGAAGGAACTGACATTTTCCTGATAGCTCAAAAGTCATTCAGAATCTTCTGGAAGCTCTCACTAGGACCTAGAGTTAGCCTTTTTATTGTTTCATTTTTAACATTTCAGCTACAGCATGCACACACAAACCCAAAGCACTGCAAACGGTAGTCACGCTTTATAATTAATGGGATGAACTGAATTAAAGGTATGATAAATTCAAGTATAAGCACTGAAAGTGTAATAGAAGATACAGTTATCATGCATTCCTGTTCACGTAACACTTACTGCTGGTTGTGAGATCTGAGATGTTTTCTTCACCGTCGAAGTCCTCAAAAAATAGGGTTTCACCTGAATGGGACTGTCCCTTCTCATATAAAACTGCATTGGCGTTCATTAACAAAATTTCTTGGAGTGTTGTTTTTTCTCTTCTCTACAGCAAGTGCTGTACTGTTGTTTGTTCCCTCTCTTAGTTCCATCTACCAGAGAATAAAGGAGTACTTTGTTTAATGAGTTTTGTTTGACGAACACTTAGAAAGGGAAAGCAAAGAGATTATAGAGAAAAATACGTGGAGGCTCTTAGTGCTAAATGCATAACAATATCCAACTGCTTTGATTAAAGCTGCCAACAGGGATTAAAAGGAAAGAATAAAATCATAAGAATCCAGAAACTCTATAGACTTACGAATTTGGGCTGGATATGATTCATTTAAGTTGATCTGGGAGCTGTAGAGCTGTTTTCTCTCATTATTTTTTTTTCTTCATTTTTTCATCACATGTAATCTTATTATGAGTTTAAACTTCCTAGGAAAGAACTATGCAATGTATTTTAATTTCTAATTGGAGCAGCAGCACATTTCTTTTCAGCTACAGGTTTTGCTTGTCTGTCCTTAGTAGCTTTCGCCTTCTGTAGGACATCCTTTACTCTTTACCTTTCCATTATATATAAAAGAATAAAGGGATAAAGCTGCTCTAAAACTTATATGATAATTGCAGCGTATTGGTGAAATGGCCTCAACAAGTCAGGGTAAGAAATCATTAAGCTGGGAGAAAAGCCTTTCTGATTGTCACAGTGATATAACCATAGCTTTTGGTTCTGAGTTGTAGTTTCCTGTGTCCACATCTGTGTTTCAAAAGATTTTTGGAGAATAGAATTGTTTTAGTTTTCATTTGCCAGTGAAGAATGTTTTACATCCTCAGGTTTGTCTCTGTAAATGTTGTGACATTTAATATCTGGTCAGTTGTCACATCCAAGAGAAGTTTCTCTGTTCCCAGATAAGCACAGGTGTGATGATTCAGGAGCTGCAGTATGAGCTGATGTAATGGGTGAACACTGGTACAACGTATTCAGTTGTTCTTAAGGATTTTTCTGCTTGTCAGGAGCTTTCTATAGTGTTGAGCAAACTGGTATGAGCTGCTGTAAATATCAAAAGTAGTGGATAACGCATGCAGAAATGCACACAGTGTCTCATACATTTGTTTGGAATGCTTTGGAGCAGAGAATGCGTGGTCCACAGCATGATTTCGTTAGGCTCTTTGAAGGCATTTGTGGTGCCCTCACAACACTCTTGAAAGAGACCGTTGCAGAGTAAAGAGGAAAGGTCTCATCAGGGAGAAATGGTTGGCTAGAAGATTAGGTATGAGTAGATAGATAGAAATAAATGGTCAGTGGAATTGTACAGCAAATCTAAGCAAATGCTTGTGCTGTGTAGCCTAAAGAGTCTGGAAAAAATGTGAAGATGTAAAATTTTTTGCTCACAAAAATCATGAGAGTAGTAAAGATGGGGTTTAACCTTGAAGAATTGTAAAGGGACCTTTATAGTGCTACTGATTAGATGATAAAATAGCAAATGAATGAAGCTTTAATGCATAGGATGTGACAGGCGAGGGGAAGAGCACTGCTCACGTCGTGTGTGCAGTAACTGTCTCTGAATTCATCAACCTGAAATGAGGTTTTATAGGAAAGTTCACTGTGTTGCTTTAAAAAGCCTCATCTTAGTGACTCTTTGCTCCATCAAAAAAAAGTGGTGAGTAAAGTAGTCAGATTATGAGTCATCCAGTGCCTCTTCGTTCTGGAGCAATGCTCCTTGTGAGGAGATCTGTGTTAAAGAACTGAGAACTATCCTTGGGAAGAAAGCTCATCTTTTCCAGTATGGTAATAAGAAGTTGTATATAATTGCTCTTAGTGCCGTGCCACAGTTATTTTCTGCTGGAGGGAAAACCAAAGTGAAACCTTCACATCAGAATAAGGGGCTGTGTGATCAGCATACCTGGTGTGAGACTGAATGCTTGCCTGTAGCATACAGACACAGAGCTGGTGCTGAATGCTTGGCTAATAGAGGAGCTGCCTTAGAACTGTCTTATTAGGAACTCAGACAGTCCACTTTAATGAAGTGTAATATGTTCTGCTTAGGTTTCAGCTCCCTGCAGGAGAAAATTACAGCTTCGAAAAAGATACATGGGTTTGCTTTTAATACAGGCTTATTGCAAGATACATGTATTACCTATCGTGAGACTTCTGTTGCTAACAGTTAGCTAAAATTGTCTTATGTAGGCTTATTCTGATTTAGAGCATTGATTTCATCAACAAGGCAACAGACTGAATTACATTGTATTTTGTCACGTGTTCCTCCTGCCTCACTAGAGCATAAACCTTCATTGTACTTAAATGCTAAAACAGTAAGAGGAAAATAATTGTTACACTATTGACAGTTCAGGATATATCGGTAGGATAATTTTCATATTCATTATTTTATTAGAATTGAGTATTATTTTGAAAATAGTGGTGGGGCAAAAAAAAGTGTTAGAAATAAAATGATCCTCAGATTATCTTGTGTGTTCTAAGTACTCTTGTGTACTCTGTATTGATTTTCGTAATTCTACTCTCTTTTTAATGCATATTTAAAAGGTTAGCAACAAATAGCTTGGATAATTTTTAAGGAGTGGCCAATTAGAAGTGAAAAGCTTTCCCTGTATCTGTCACTATAGTAACCAGGCAGCTTTCCTGGGGTCCAAATAAATCAGTGTCTGTAATGGAACAAACGCTGAGGAGTGCTGTTTTCTTTCAGAAGCAGAAATTATTGCCTTCCAGCCTCTAGATAGCAAGTTGAGCTGGTTGTTTTTTTTTTTCCCTAAATTTTACAATGTGTTTTTTTTCTTATCCTTCAGAATTTTGTGGTCAAAAATGCAGGTGTCAGGGATTGAAATGTATTGTTGTATTTCTTGACAAAAACGTAGATAAGTATACATGCATGTAAATAAGTCTTTGGTATTTCTGGGCATGGAGGTGG